GATCCAGGGAAAAGCCACATGGGTGATCAAAGGTACAGAATGACCTCCGTAAAAGTAAGCTAGGTCTCTTTGGAAAAAGGCACTTGAAGGAGGAAGTGATAGAGGTGCATAAAGTGATGAATATAGTTGATGGAGTGGATAGAAATCAATTGTTCATTGCCCCTGACATTATAAGAGCCAGAAGGTATTAAATGAAGCCAGTCAGGTGCATGTTAATAATCAGCAAAAGGAGATGATTCTTTACCGGGCAAGTCATAAAAGTCCTTGTTACTGGATGTTCTAGATGTTAAAATTTTGAATGAGTTAAAAGGCAGTCTGGACAAATTCATATGTAAGAAATATATTGTTGGTAACCAAGCATGCAGAATTCACATTCAACTCAGGAAGCTTTTTATCAAAAAATAACGTTTTGGGAAAATATCTATACTTGGCCTTTGGTCCATACTAAAAGCCCACTTTCAGGTAAAAGATACAGAACTAGAAGCAACATTGGCTTGACCCACAAAGGCCGCTTGTATGTTAAAATATTCGATACTTTTATTCTGACCCAAGTCTTTTAAAGAGTTTTGGCTAGCTGACAACCCCTTACTTACTCATGGGCATTATATGCACTTCCCTTTTTGGCTAGGGTTTTTTTTTTGCAGGGAGGGCGAGATCAAAGGAAACATCTCCTAATGTTTTGAGTTTTACTTTTTTAATTACTACATCAAATACGTCACTTTGCTTGTTTAATAGTGTAGATGACAGCTTAGGACTTACTGTCTGCATGATAGTTATTATTCACAAATGATGACCTGGTCTAGCCAGTCCTGTTGGAATGACTTCCTGGAACAATAATACAGAAATTCAGAGGGCAGTAGCATATGTAGATCACAGAACAGTTGGGATAAGGAGACTTTTGATTCATCTAAGTAATATTTTTCTAAAGTCATAGCACTACTGCTCAGACCCATTTTTACTTTGATTTTAGTATCTTTTTGTTCCACTTTTCATTACCATCATCTTAAAAAGATTTTAAACCCACCCTGCAAAGTTTTCCCTGAGATGATATTCTTTAGAGAAATAAGCCACAATACTGGAAATACAGAGGGTTTTGAATTCTCATTTCAGCTTTGTGACTGATTCACATGACTTTGAACAAATCATGTAAATATCTGTGCTGTCTTTAAATTGAAGATAACAGCAGCCTTATAGGAATGCTTTTAAAGTAAAGTACCTAAAATTCTATGAAGACTTAAATTATGATTTATTAGTGGTTTTGAAATACTGCTTTAGGGATGGAAAAAACATGCTAATGAGTCTTGGGTGCATAGAACTAGTTATGTTTTGTGGTTGGCTCGAAGTGATCTCTCGTATGGATCAGAATACATGGGATGGAAGTGTAGTGTATGTGCAGATGTGATTTATTCTTTCTGCATATTTCTTATGGTGCTTCATGAAGAACAAATATCTGCTTTCACCTAGCTCTACAAGAAAGCCTGTTTAGGACTCCTGCGGAACTCAATACGGGTAACATTTGTTTGTTTTATATGTGTAACTAGTATTTTAAGCCCTACCAAGGAGTTGCTGGCCCCCTCTGACCTACCTGCCTGGCAGGTGATGCTGTGGTGTAGCCTGGGGTGTGGTCCCCCAAATGCAGCTATAAGAATGTTCTGAGTTACTTCTCTGCAGGAACTGCAGTGCAGCCAGGAGGAAGAAGGCGGTGCATGCCTAGGTATTGTTCAGACATACATTTGAGATGTTGCCAAATTGTGCAGTGAAATCTGGGATCTGAGGAGCTCTGTATTTTTACAGGTGAGACATACAATACAGGGAGATACAAATAACAGATGATTCAAACAGTCCCTGCCCTAAAGAGCTTCTCTGTGTTGCAAGTTGAATGGAAACAAGGCATTGCTCTGAGATAGGCAAAAGTTATTTCCTTTTATTTCGTGGTTCTGGCAAATTTTTTCCTTAGAGATACTTTCTGCAGAAGCCTAAAGTCAGAGAACTTGTGTAGCAAAATGTGTTTTTTTTCAGTTTCTAGTAATGAAGTCACACATGTTTATAGCATTATCATCTAAGAAACCCAAGTAGCAATTACTAATTACAAAGAGAGGGAAGATACTCCTCATTTTACTGAGGAAATGGAGCCATGATGAATTAAAGGGACTTTCCCTGAATCACAAGAAACTTAATGTGGAGCTCAGACCTCCAGACATTTGGTTCACTGTTTCAGTCATATGACCATCCTTTTCCAAGTATCAAATATGTACACAAGGCTCTCCAGTTTAGTCTTCACATTAGTTTCCAATGCTAAAATTCAGTTCCTCTGAGCTTTGCCCTTTCACTTGTTTTAGCAAAAAGGCAAACATTTCCCCATTTGTCCCAATAGTAAGTAGAAACTGCTTTCTATACAGATGACGATTTCCTTTCCATTCACATGCGTCTCATCCTAGTATTAGAAGGCCAGCCTGTGTCAGCAAGGGCCTGTTTAAATTAGAAACCAAATAATGTTTCAGGGATGCCTTGGGCTGTCTTGTGGAGAGGGTTCTTCTCAACCCTTGCCAGTTACTACTTGGTGGTCCTGCCAATCCTTGCTAAGTTTCAAAACAAAAGTTGCTCAAGCTCGAACAGCACTGTTAGCCCAGCATACGCAGCTGGACAGCTGGTGAGCTGGGACGAAGCAAGGCCCAGTGCTTAACCAGGCACAATTCACCAGACCATGTAAAGGGACAAGGGAGTGGCACTGTCCTAATTGTTAACATTCCTCCTCTGCAAGACTTCTCCTGATATTTATTTAATAAGCCTAGGCTCATAAAGTCTAAAGGATTTGAGCAATCAAGCAGTAGCTGATGTGTATATGGAGATGACATGCAGCCAGGCTAAGTGAAGGATGAAATTCTTAATTTCTGACTTTACAAAGCTTTATCTGGCAATTGCAGATGAAATAATACCTCAGGCAGCTGTGCCCAAGAGTGGAATATACATTGCCAGTTACCTCAGGAGCTGTACTTCAGGCCAGGTTTGTACAGGCACAGCTCCTATTTAAGTGTGCATGACCAATGTGCTGGCGTGGTCTTCTCAGCCAGTGTGGGGAAGTTTCTGTTGCTGCCAGTGAGTAATATTTGTGAACTCGAGTCTGATGTCTCCTGCCAGTGGCTGCAAAAATTGGGGATGTGCTATTGCTCTATTCTCAGAGAGGCAAAAGGCAGGTTCAGCACAATTGGCTGAAACATGCCGGCATTTCCACATCCCAGCAACAGATGCTTCTAAGTAGGTATGCCTTCATACGTAGAAAGGAGTGAGCATCTAGAGACTGCTGTGTGTGGAAGTTTGTTCTTTCTTTTCTGTGGAGCTGTTGCTGAGTATTTTAGCATTAAATGGGGAAAAAAAAGTATCATTACATTCATTAGCATTTCATTCAGAATTATTTCCAACTTGTAGTGGAGCAGGAACACATGGTGACTGGATGTTAAACTTTCATTGATGGGATGAAGAGGTCTAAGGTTCAAACTGGAAAAGGGACTGTTTGGAGTGGACATGGGCCAAGGGAGAAAAAACAAATTTTGATGAACCTGATCTTCAGCAAAGTCAGGGGCTGGAAGGTGGCTTTTGTTAAAAAAGAAGAAATGCCAAAATGCATGATGTTCCTATACTTTCTCAAGAAAAATAAAAGAAGCATTATCTCTATTTCAGCTCATCTTTAAAATACACAAAGGAAAGGCAATGCAGAAAAGGAGAGTATTTTTGCTGATTGTGCTTTCCATGTTCTCTCATTAATGGTCTTTTTCTTGTGAGTGATCATTTACCATGTTTGATTCAAAGAGATCCAGTCTGCATAGTTTTAGAGTAACTTTGTTAATGTTGTTTTGATAACTTCTACTTACCAATCTAAAGCTTATTGGCCATAACTACATTGTGAGCTGAGTAAATTGGTTGTTAGCGCGTTTTCAAACAGTTCAGCCTAATTACATTGATGTAAGCACCAATTTTACAACTTTGTCTGTGGTGCCATTACAGAAATTGGGTGAGCAAGCAGGCAGGCACCCTGCACATACCTCTCTCTTAGTATGGTGATTTACTGCCTCTATCTGCTGCCTGCCTTTTACAGCTGTGTGCTGGGTAATGTCCCTGCCCTGCTGGTTAGCTTGTTTCAATCCTGTGATGATACTTCCTTAGTGTGGGATGTGAATCTCACTTTGCCACCAGGCTGAAAAACGGACTTCAGGTTTTCCAAAGTTCTTTTCCCATCTTCCCTGTGGTTACGTTGTACTTAGAAAAACAAACTGGTAGGGGTCATAGTAGGTGGACATGGATGCTTTCCTTTTGACCTACTGCTTTTTGACTAGTCTATGTGCTTTGATCATTCTCCAAGGCCTCTTTTGTGTTTTGTTTTGACTTTGGCCTGATGGCTGAAAGCTTTACTGTAAATTATTATTTTTGACAGTTATGATAGTGATATTCCACCCTCCCATAGTATCCTCTGACCTGCAGGTATCAGAATGCAGAAAGATATGACTAAAATGTCACAAAAGAATGCAAGTCACATATAGTTACAATTTATTTCAGATAAATGATGTAAGCAAAGTACAGTATCTCAAGGAGAAATAACAAGCACTATTGATTAGAGTGTTTAGAGTGAGAAAGGGTTTCTGGGTTAGGTTCAATACATAATCTCTGATTATGGAGCCAGTGCATTAAAACAGTATAAGGTAACAACTTGCCATTTTTCTGTAAGCTACCAAGATGCATACATAGGTGGATTCAACTAATAAATCAGCAAAATATTGGCTATTGGGATGGAAGGGTGTGAAGTGAATGAGGAAGGTGGGAGGGGGACAGCTACAAGAGTTAAGCATCTAAACAAGGATACTCTGAAAAGCATTTGGCTGTGGTGGATCCAGTGGAGGCTGAACAGTTGATTCTTTTTTGCTTCAGAAGGGGCTAGTTCATATGTAAGCAGTATAAAAGTATCATCTTCAACCTTGGCTGAGGGTTCACGTTAATGTTTTTTTCAGGTGGAACTTGCAGAAATTTGCACAAAGAGCGAACGTTATATTGGCACAGAAGGTGGAGGAATGGACCAGTCGATCTCTTTTCTGGCAGAAGAAGGAACTGTATGTGGATCTTTGTAATCTAAACTAACGATGTAATATTAATTTATGTAAACAAAAAATACCTTCATATGTATCTAGCAGAAAGACAAGAAACTGTAATACCTTAGTAAACAGTATAAGCATCATTGGTATGCAAATGAAACACAGATTGTATGTATGAACTTGTGTACAATTGAGTATGACAAGTTCAAAGGAATAAGATGATGAAAATGAGAAATAGCAAGGAGGAAAGAAAAGATGTGGGGAAAGATGTACTCTAGAAGAGACCAGGTTCCACACTATTTGGCTAATTCGTCGCTGAACTTAGAATGTTTCCCATATAACGAGATCTGAATGGTTGGTATGCCCTGTATTCAGTGCAAATGGGATAATTATTACAAAAATGCTTTCCTGAAACTTCTTATAACTAAAAAGTTCTAGGAAGTTTTGCCAGGTCCAGTTGCAAAGACAATGGAGATTTTTTTTTCCCAGTTTTGCTAATTCCAGACAATTCTGTGGCTGGATTCTGATGTAGAAGGCATTTAGCTGTCTTAAACGTGGTGACAGAAGGTGCACTAGCAATGATAAACAGGACCTGCCAAGTTACATGAGTGCTTGTAGTGGACCTTACAGTGGAGTTCATCCAGTGTAGCAGAAGGTGCACAGGACTGTGACTGTTCAAACCTAAAACCTGTCAAAATACTTTTATTTAGATTCATGTAGCAGTTCATGACCACCTTTACTTTCCTTGTAACTGTGATATTATAGCTCTATAGCTTTTGTTCCTTAGTGCCATATCTTGGATAAGCGTATACAGAAAATAAGCTATTTCCTAGAATTACACCAAACGTTTAATTCCATCATGAGACAGATGTATTTTAAATTTCTCATCACCTGAACCTACTCTACACCTTTCCTTCACACTTTGTACTGTTAGTAGTAAACACACAGCTACATGAATGCTCAAGGAAGCAGCATATTTTCCTTGCATACACACAGATGATCACATAAGTGGAGGCTTTTCTGATATGAAGAGGTAGTGATCAAAAAGGCAAAGAAAATGTTAGAAAATATTAGAGAAGAAATTGTGAACAAATCCTTGCTTCAGCGTACTTGCAGCAGAATGCAGTTCTGGCCTCCCATCTCAAAAAAACCCCATACTAGAACTAGAAAAGTACAGTAAAGGACACTGAGGTTGATCAAAGCTTTTTTTCATATGAGCATTGACTGAATAATTTAAAACTTTTCAGCCAGGAAAACAAGTATCTTTGAGGGTGATGTTTTGAAGCTCTGTAAAACCCCTGAATGGGTAAGAGAAGGTAAATTGAGAATTCAGTGTTTTTCATAACTGAAGAACTGACAGAAACACAATGACATTAGCAAGCAGCTTGTTAAAAACAAACAAGGAAGTTTGTTTGTTTGTTTTTTCCAAAACATTCATTGTTAAATTGAGAAATACCGTACATTGTGGAAGGCAAAAGTTTAAAAAGGGTTCAAAAAAGGCCTTCTTGAATACACTGATAGAATATTAGCCTATCTGTAGCTATTGAAACTAATAGTCTGATGTTTCTTCCAGTGTATGTATAACTGCTGTAATCTTATGGGAAACTGGAAAAATATACCCCAAAAAAAGATTTCTTTGTGTATGTCCTATTTTTATATTCCCCCTAAATATCCATTTATGGCTACTGTCAGAAACAGGACACAGGACCAGCTTAGTGGTACATTCTGATCTAATGTAGCAGTTTTTAAGGGTATATTTAAATGTAAGCAAGCTTGTCTGTCTTGATAGTAATTTTGTGACGTGGTCCAGAATCTCAATGGCAGGGAGTAACGCACATGCTGTACATAATGTACAAGCAGATTTGTCATTGTTTATTTAGCACTCTAGCTGCTCAAGGAACTCTCTGGGGGTGAACAATGCCAAAACCAGTAAGATGTCCCTGCTTGCAGAGTTATAGTCTATTCTAAGAAGCCAAAGCAGGGCACATGATTTACAACTTATCCCAATGAAAGACCAGATGTGAATTTAATCTCTTGATTACATTACATCCTGGATTATTTAATTAATGGATGCCTAGCTTATTCCATGAAAAGGTCACAAAATGTTGGGAACATCTTACGCAGCCTGTGTAAGGCATCTGTGAGGCAAGGCAGTCTCTTATGTCAGAAGGAAGGAGACAGTAACTACATTTTTATATATAGTTTTATTTCATTTCTCTGATTGTCTGTATGTAACATGATCACTGTCTCCAGTCAGTCCTAAAATTTTGGTGCTATTCAGTACCTCAGTGAACTACTCTTGATTTAGTGGAAAATCAGAAAACTAAGGGGAAGATGGACATTGGTGAAGGGGAAGGGAATGTGAAGCCCCTTGTTTCTAATGGCATGCACATTAGCTTCAGCCAGGCCTGGTACTTTTCTGTAGATCAAAGAAAAACTGTTGTCTTAAACAGGCAAGAAAAATAGGTTGGGTGGGGTTCTGTGAAATGCTGAAAAAACCCAAAGACTTAATGGAAACATTTTAAAATCCAGCTACAAGGGAAAGGTTTGAAATGTATGTGTAACTTGGCCAATGAGGTTGAACCTCTTTTCTCGCTGTTTCATGTCAGTTTTCTTTCCTTAACTGTCCCTGGATTTTCAAGAGAAAAAACATGCAAATTTGCATTTGATTTATAGAACTAAGTGCACTGTTAGCTAGTAGTAAATTAAAACTAACCATTTTTCTTTCAATAGGCCAAGTTGATAGAGTTCAGTCCTCTGAGGGCAACTGATGTTAGACTTCCAAGTGGAGCAGCGTTTGTTATTGCTAACAGTTGTGTTGAAATGAATAAAGCAGCAACTTCTCATTACAATATTAGGGTAATGGAGTGTCGTCTGGCTACAAAGGTAACGTATGGCTTATGTCAAACTCTAATGAAACCTTCATCTAAATATGTGCTGTTTTCCACTTCTGACCAATCACGTCTTTAACACCTGGCTAGGTGCTACTTTAAGTAGCATTTTTCTTTCCAGAACCAGACACCTCCAGCTCTGCAGAAACAGAACTCCTGCCGAGTTTAATGGAAATGCAAGGACTGTACCCTTATATAGAAGATTATGTGATTTATTTCTATTCAATTTATTTTTGTATTATATTTCAATGGAGGAAATAAGTCTATTTTTCAGCAAAAAATATTCTCAGTTAATAAGATAGACTGTTTCTAATTAAAGCTGAATAATGACAAATAATGGAAAGCAACCAGTGTGGTCACATGTTTATATGTATATATGGCAATAGATGCGCATTTTCTAGGGTTTAGAGGACATCAAAGCTACTAGTTAGAGGCCTGGAAGTAATATTGGAAATGCTGAATAGCAGCATTATATCAGTGTAAAGTTTAAAAACAGGCTTGCATTAAAACCCAACTGCCAAGCTGGCAGTTTACAGCTTGCAATTATCTCTAAAATGTATGGAATTTGAACATGAAAAATCTAAGTTCCACTTTAATTCTGGATTTTGTAGACCATGTGTTTAGGAACATGTAAATGTAGGGTTTGATTTGAGTTTGTTATAGCAATGCAGTGGATTTTTCTTTGATTAGGTTAAGTATGGAGGAGGCATAAAGATTCGCTGCAGTTATACCCAACGTAGTGTGCTGTGTGAAAGAAGAAAATTTGGGTCACAAAGTCTAGATGCAAATTTTAAAAACTGCAGCATGGAACTCCTTGCCACAAAACATTTGGCTAAAATCTGAGCAATACTCAAAAGTACTTTGAGCATCTGTTAGCATCATAGTTCTATGAAAAATTACCATAGTTAATGCTAAAAAAAACCAAACCAAAACAAGAAGAGTTGAAGAGATGATCAGATACTGACAAAACATGATATAAAATACTCCACTGAGATATTTTTCAAGGAGGGAAGGTAAACTTCAGATGACTTTTTAAGTGAGCTTTAAACTGAAGTATCAAGAACATAGCTGCTTTTTAGGTGTATATAAGATACGGTAAAAATAACACCAGTGACCATAGTTAAAGCTGTAGTCACTGAAGTTAATAAAAATATTCTTATGCCATTAAGAAAATCAAGATAAAGACCTGTCTATGTGTTGGTTCTGGTATAACTGATAAACCTCTAATTTAGGATAGTTAATTGACTAATTATGTATTTTAGGAAGACCTGCTTTTGGAAATTTTTTTTGCATAAGAAACAGAGAGTCTTCACAGATGGTCTATTCTAAAAGGCAAACTATGACGAGTGCATTAAGTTATAAGACCTTTTGAAGTATCGTTCCATGTACCAGATTTTGTGAATTGAATCACAGTTTTCTAAATTGCTTTAAATTTTTGGTCCTGTGCAGTAAACTGAAAAGGTGGTAAGGAAAGATGATTTTTTTTTATATTGCTGTTAGGTATAATGCAATCTCTAGAAAGGTACCTTTAGCAGATGCTTAACTTTAAGGAGACTAACAACATACACCTATCTTTAAACATATGCTACCCAGACGGAAAGCTGCACACACTATAAAAATATGTTCAGCCAGGGAAAGACTGTCTTCAGGAACAGGTCACAGTGGGGTGAAGGAGGGCAGGTATGTAAGTAGAAGCAGGAAAGTCTTTTAAGCACCATTAAGCTAATGGAACTATGAAATAACATGCTGGGCCTTGCAATAATGCTTTAAAAGAAATTCTTATTGGTAAGTGCCTTCGGATAGGCTTTTTTTCCCCTTTCTGCTTTAGGTCATTCTAGAATTTCATACTGTTTGCAGAAAGCTCCATGTAAGTAAAGATGCCAACACAACATATGCCTGCTGGCATTAGCGTAGAACATTTTGATATCTGTCCTACAGCAAGTGAGCTCTTGATCATCATCACAAAATTGTCTTTCTCAGGTTCTGTTCCTTTCCCTTCCCTTCTGGACAGTCATTCTTTTGCTTGTTATTCTTTCACTATTTTTGTTATAGCCTCTGAGTGCTTTCCTGCACTCTGTTAAACAGTATGTTTAAAGATGCTTATGTTCTGCAGAACACTCATGATTCCAAAGGAAATTAACTTGTACTTTATACTTCAGAAAACTCACACAGTAGGTGCTGCAGGATGAATATGAGCATTAGTGAATGCTGTGCTCTCCTCTGCTGCACCGTGTGTGGTTCACTTCATTGTCGGCTGTAGAGTAGTGCCAAGAATGACTGCAACTGGAATGCCATATAGTTAATCAACTAACGTTTGTTAAATGTGGAAAGATGCTCAGATGACATTATAGGAATGTAAAGTGTAAGAAAGTAATCTTGCAATATAAGGGCCAAGTATTCCTATACTTAGTCCTAGTCAGACTTTCTTTTATTTATATTTGTCCCATCATTTATTAAGTATGTTTTCCTCACTTACTTACAGTTCTCCAGTGTGCCTGTGTTGAACAATAAAGGACAGTAAAGCCTACAGATACTATATCCTGGCACTTAAGAGCCAGCTGCACGATGTCCACATCTTTAATCCATCTAGTCAGAGATCATCAAGAAAATATCCAACTGTGGGATCAGTATTGGGATTACTTTTGTACATTAAATAGATGGGAATTTTTCCCATTTCTGTTCTGTGTCCATTACAATTTGAGCTGCTGCAGCTAGAGTGTTTTCAAAAACCATTTCTGTTTGCCGATAACATTTTTCCCAGTGCTGTTAGAATTGAAACTTTGCTATAAGTGGTGTAGACCTTTCCAACAAAGCCCTGCCCACTGGCCTGACGGGGTCAGTTTCCATTTGGAACATTTGACTTGTAAAACCCCAGCATAGTTATCTCATCTGAAATACAGCATCTCCCTTGAAGTATAGAAACAAGAACAGATGTGACAATACATATGATGTATTTCTATAGGGTATTATTTATTAAAAAAGGAAGTAGAAAAATTCTGGCTGCCTCATAGAACTCTTTTTTTGTAAATTCTTAGATCTGTTTAACTTCTGATAATAAAGTCTAGGGGATGCTGAACATTAGGATTAAAGTATGAGGAAAAAAATTTCCATTCATTTAGCACCTTGAAGCAAATTTAAGAACATGTCACAAACATGCACCAAAGTAAGAGATATTGAGTATTTAATTAAAACAAATGAAGCAATAATTGTTATTCTAACTTATCAATCAGTAAGCTGAAATAAAATTACGTAAAGACTGTAGAGTTCTAGATACTCAGAGCCTTTGAAAAGCAGGCCAGAAGTAACTTAAACAGTCTTTTACAAGAAAATTTTCTCACGCTGGTTTCTGCATTAGCCGCTAGACAGTGCTGCTTCTTTCTCTACCACTGAACATGCAAAACTGTGTTTTAGATGGCGACAGAGTCATATGATTAGGATTTTGATTGGATTTTGTTTGTTCTGCTCTACTAAGCCTCACATAAATCTTAGCTAGTCACTAGATGGCACCAAAAGTAGTTAATTTTTATATACTGTAATAAAGCAAAACTGGAAGAGCCCCTGCAAAAGCTCTGGAGGAGAACAGGAGGGTGAGAATCTATAGCAGATAGTTGGGCAGCAGATCTGCTTAAATTTCATGCTGTAACTTTCCACAAAGCAAAGCAAATACTTTTCAGACATATATGTAAATACCTTGATTTTTTTAACCCAGGAAGTTAAATGGCTTTGCTGAATTGATTTCAAACCAATCTCACTCAAAAACGGTGTTTATTGAAAAGAATAACGAAACACACTGGGTGAAATCTTGGCCCTGTTGATGAGAGGTTTTAATGCTGATTTGCATAGGAAAAGGATTTCATTTCCTGGTCTTGCTGAGCTGGTTTAAACTCTCTGCAAACATACAGCCTGATCTGGCATACTTGGAAGCTTTAATCTCATTTTATATGGTGCAGAACTGGAGGTATGTCCAGTACTTATGAATACGGTAAAACGACATTGGTATGTACCTGCTAATCTGTGTTCTTACTCTGTAGTAATCTGTTGAAATTAAAGGTGGTATGTCAGTAGGATCCCACAATGACCACTTAATATTCTTCTGTAGTTCATAACATCAAAAATATTCCACCTTATGAGGAAAGCTGCGTTACTCAACCATTTTCTTTAGGCACATGAGTGCATCAACACCTGTAGCAACCTTCCAGAGAGAAACCTCTTTGACATACTTCCTTTTAGGATTCTGCTGTGTTGAAGTAACCACTGTCAATTGCTGAAACACCACAAAGATACACAAAGCATGACATCACTGTTTGGAGTGGGAAAAACAGATACGTCTATAACTAATTAGCATCATAGCTATCACGTACGAACAGAGCAGATTCTGACTAACACATTGTAACCTTCCTATAAGGCTCAAAACTTCCTTTAAATTGGATGTTAAAAGAACATACTTAAAATTTACTTTAAACTCTAGAGATTGAGAAAGGTTACGGTTAATTCTTCTGTACAAATCTTATGCCCACTTTCATATTTTTAAGGCTATTATGAGAAAGAGTTTTAATGACAACTTCAGATGTTCATCAGAAAACTCTAGGAGCGTATTGGAAAGGTCAAACTGAGTTTTAAATGTTACAGCAATTTCTAACAGTACAGAAACAGACTTCTTGGGGACTTTTAGTGTTACAGTGTTGTAGCATTTGTGTAAGCAATTGTCTGAATGTGATTGTAAAAGGTTAACAAGTGCTTGAAATAACAACATCCATGGAAAAGGATAAATCACTGATTTGATGTCACACAAATAATGGCAGTAGGGCTTTTACAGACAATATCTGATTTGAGGGAAGAATATCTGTCATTCACAGACCTTTTATAAATAAATATAATGATTATCTGCCATGTACTGATAGAAAGTAGCTTCTGATGGTTCCCAATTAAGAAGTGAAAAGAGCAAATGGGTCTTAAAGGTGCTTATGGGCAATTAAATAGTTTTAAACCGGAAGGCACAATGTTTTCTGTTTTATTTTAGCTTCTCTCAAAGTCAAAAGGCTTGGACTGGAAAAAAATGTTGAGACTCCATGATGTGCAAACCAAGCTAGGAGTTAGCCTAGAGGAAATGCTGACCATTGTCGAGGAGGTATTACATCCTGAGCCTTACAGCACAGAGGAAATTTGTAAATGCCTGGAAATTAGCCTGGAGGAGCTCCGCTCTCAGATCCTGAGTCAAAACACGCAAGATGGTAAGCATATATGAAATGGTGGGTTTTAGTGTACAATGTTTGTATTATGTAAAAAGTTTATGTATTAATAAATAGCATAAGTGGAAGTCTTGCCAGAATGCTTCCCCAGAATCTTGGTTGGCTATTGAGAGAATTGACATGATGGTTTTCATTCTAACTTTTAAGTTAAAGTAGAGCAAAACTTTGATTTTGATTGAACTGTTTCTAAAACGGTAGAAGTAGCAGATCACTTACTATTTTAGATTAGCCTGTGCTGTTTGAGAGTCATCTCGAAATAACCCAGGTTTTATTCTAGGGAAAAGTCTAAAGTAGGCTTCCTTTTTAGGCAATAGCTCTAACAAAACCAAACATTTTGGATGGTTACGGCATCGTTAAAATGAGTCCTGGTTGCTCTCCCTTAGCTGGTGTTAAAGACCAGCATAGATGGAGCTTGTGTTTCTGTTTTTGAATTGATAAATACATGATCACTTCATAAAACATGCACTGGGCAGCAAGTCATCTAGGTCTCTCCTGAGAAAGAAGTTTCTGTCACTATGAATATTTTTTTTTCCTTTTAGAAAAATGTTGGAGGCGAACAATTTACTATTTAAAGTATTATTTCCCATATGTTATTGCTTACGATTATACCATGCAGGCATGAGCATTGGCACAGATGAAATGGATCCTGCATACAGTAGGGTTGCTAATAATGCTGAGTATTTATGAAATAATTAATTTGCATTCATAACAGGTTTCCAATTGAGATCAGATCTTTCTTTAAGAACTTAAAATAATCCTTACTTGTACTTCCGTTCTGCAGCCTTAATACCTCTACTGTTTTGTAGCTGAATTATATCCTTGCTAATCCTTCCCAAGACTGCTTTCAGGGATGTATATATTTGATGTATATAAATCAGTAACATATCTATGTATACTGATGCTTATATTTAAATAATCTCTATAACTGGAATGACTGTAAACTTTATCTATTGACTAAGGAGGCAGTTCTGAATTTATAAACTCTTTTGCACCCCGGTGGTATCAGAGAGTATGAAACTATCTTATTGTCTTAATTACACTGCCAGAAGGTACCAGAATGGAATATGATATTGTAATCCAGCTCTTTATCTCTATAGAAAGTGCTATAACTCTGTGCTGCATGTACATGAGGAACGTATTGGGCCATGTACCTGCACTCTGCAACATTTTCATGGGAAACTGCAAGGCTATAAATCTTTTACACTGTCCCCTTAGTCTCCCCTTCATGAAGCAGTACAAGACTATTAACTTACAGTTGTTTATACTCCTTATACCTGGTTTATAAAACAAAATTCTGGAAAATTGAATTGTTTATACAGGTTATTTTGATTTTTTTCATAAAAACCAAAGTCTGGATAAAAAATTTAAACATAAAAGCTATAGAAGAAACTCAAAGGAAATTTTATACTGTGGCTCTGAATAGCGTTTGCAGATGTTTGCTGAACAGAATCTCTTAAACTTGCATGACCATGATTTCATTTGATAAGGCCAATTAAAATGGGTTATGCTGAAAGCCTCGTTGCATGTACAATATAAAATCAAATAACAGATTTCTGTAAAACTATATGCAAAGAAGAAACCAGACAGACACAGAAAGAAGGAATCTAAATCCACTGTTTGTTTTTGTTGCACACTAAACAAATTACATTTTATATTGGCTTTGGAAAACCAGAGGGTGTTTGACAAAAATAATTTTCTTATTTCCCCTCTACTTTCCCACTATATTTTAATGACAATGTCTGGCTTCTTTACATGAGAGAAAACATACCAACAAATAAGTAATCTCTGCAGAGAATTTCAGAATGGTGTTGAACTTCTTTGTTCAACGTGAAGAAAGAACCATAACATTTAGGGTATCTTTCTTCCTTTGTACACGTTTTATCAACTTTTCTGATAAAATATTATAACGTTACAGGTAAATTATTTGCATGAGCATTACTATTTAGATCATTTACTCGATTCTGAGTTTTCTCTGTGGCTGAATATAAATTGTCAGTAGCTTTAATTTTTTTGTATTATTCAAAGTCCAGTGATAGTTACAAATAATGTTTTGTACTGGGATTGTATCTCATATTTAAGGATCTGAAAGTGCTCTGTAAATATTATTTTACCCTTAAGTCTAGCTTCCCCTCCTTTACTCCTCCAGCAATGGTACTGTATACTTACATAAAGTTTTATAAGTGTATAAAGGCTGACCAGATAAAAACTCCACATCCTGAAGAAAAATGGTATGGACAGGCTTTGGGCAAGTCCCAGGCCAGGTCTGGAAGCACACAGCAACTTTGGATCCCTTTTCTAGGCAGGTACTCCAGGATTTCTGCAGTTCCGCAGCGTACAGCCCACTTGTTCCCCAGGTTTGGAGAAGTACAGATAGTGCATAAAGCCTCTCTAAACTTCTTGCAGTCGTTCCTTGGCCAACTCAAAATCCTGAGTTTAAATCTCCCTTGCAAATGTTTACACATGGATTGCACTTGTGGCTTCTGAACATTTCTAGAAAAATAATATTTATTACTTTCTAAGGTGCACTATGCCATAATTTTGGCTTGGACTTGAGTGCTTCACAGAACATTTGGTGTGTGGTGATTGTGGGACATTAAGTATTTATAAGCTTCACCGCAAAAGGATATTCTCCTGTAAAACAGTGTATTCCTTTAACCATGGAATGTTTTTTTCCTTCTTAAATGAGGTATTTTTAAACCCATTTTTCCTTTTTATATATAAAATCATAATCTAATTTTGACATTTAAGCCTGGGAATTAAATCGCTAGGGGAGGAGCAGGCATCCATTTGCTGTGTGGATTTGGCTTTTTAACTGCCCTCCTGTTTGTCCCCTGGAAAGAGAATTCTAAATCTGTGCTGTAGCTTTAGTGAGTGGTGCTTGAATAGCCTTTCATTCCTACTGCCAAGTAATTTGTATTAATGGTGACCTCAGTGCAAGAACAGTTTCAACTTTATTTGCACAGACAGGCGTACATGAAGGTGGACTCTCAGATGTTCTATCAGGCAGCTCTAGGATACATAAAGGTTTGTCATGTGCACTAGCAGAGTGCCGTTGTCTTACATGAACAGAAGTTACCTCCAAACTGGTAAACCTAAGAGCACTTCCCAGCTTGAGGGTCCAGGTGCGTACTTCAGCCCTAGCCTGATCCATGTCATGGAGAAATTGGGAACATGCCATCCGCTTCCACAAAAAGAAGGTTTACTTGGGATGAGCCCCAGAGAGGTGCCTGCTCCAGGCAGATCCCTTATAGCTACCTAGAGGATGGAGGCCTTTGGGGTGTGCCACAGGTTAGGCACAGGCACCGAATGGTCTAGGTTAGTTGCAAAAGCCTTGTTAAAGCTAGCGCTCCTCTGGAGGAAAAAATCACATTAAACCAGTAGTTACCATAATCTCAAAGCAGGTGTCTGCTAAATGGGTCACCGAATCCAGCAATGACTCGTCCTCTGGTTTATTTTCAGAAAGCCAGATTGCAAACAGTTACTTGAGCAGTCCCAGTAGAGTAACTGTTCCCCACTGCGAGTAGGGGGTTCGCAATCTGGCTCAAATTAAAGCCATCTGGCAGCATTTTCTCATATACATTATGAGCCAGAAACCTTCACCCTCATCATGTTCAATCAGCAGGATGCCTAACAGAGAAGGGTACTATTCCACATGAGTAATGGCGTAAGAGACTGTCCCCTACATGATTTCGCGTCACTGAGTTTTTCCTGTTGTAAATTTTGAACAGTCCCATCAGCCATGCGTAGCTCATTAATCTACAGTGAAACATACCTTAAGAAGCTGCCAAAGCAACTAGAAAAAAATACATAGCCTGAAGAGGTTGGTCTTTAGCTAAAGGTCAGATAGAATTGTACAGGAAGCCTCTAAAGAAAGGAATCTGCTGAAGTTGAAGTTGTAACAAATAGTATGAGTTACTGAGAAGCCACAACGTTTAATTATAAAGAAAAAAAATCCCTGTAAATGGAGTGGACAGGTTTGCACAATTTTTTTAAAGCTAAAATTAAAAGTATGACCATACAGTTGAAAACCCACAGTAAACTTTTCTGTTATATTTAATTAGCCCACAGTTATTTGGGACTAACAGCCCAGGATTTTTGTTTGTTTTTAGGAGATTTTGTATGGATTTTGGACAAACATTCGTTAATGTTAGTCTGGTGCATCTTAAAAACTTGGAAGGTTTTTTTGTTCCAGTGCGAGCTATTAGTGTGCTGGAAAATGTCACCATGTCTTTCAAAGGCATTTGGCGGTTTGCAAGTGAATTGAATCTACCTGTTCATGAATGACATTACAGAAATCCTCTGCAGAGGAACAGACCTAGGGTGCAGAGAATCCACAAAGGGTCAGCAAGAGTTGCTGACATTCTTTGAAAAATAGATAAGGACTGGTAACACAAAGCAGTTAACAGCGGAGGAGATTCCTTGTAAGAGATTCGCTGTGTCCTCTTTGAAACTTCAGAAACACAGTTAGTGAGGCTATGACCTGGAAGGTAGATTAGCTGCTTCAGTAGCAGGATGAATACAGGTGAAATGTGTTAAAAACTTAGTGACAAAATGTCACTAAGAGAGGAGCTGGGTATAGGATTCCTTGTCCTCAAAGTTTTCTTGGTCTCATTTGGACTTTTCAGGTTTACTTTAATTTCTTCTGATCCGTATCTGTTTCAATCCATAAAAGGTATCGCTCACCCTCACTTGAGTCCACAAGAAACTTTTTCTGTGTACAGCTGATACCATACAAAATAAATAATATCTCCATACTGTCTTTTCAGAAAGGGACAAAAGAGACCCTGAGATTTGGATTGTGCAAGTGTGTCTAGGTCTAAAATCAAACAGTTCATTCCTGCATGGCAGTGAGCTATGCAGAATGTGGCAGAGAGGAAACGTGTAGCGATTTTCAAAGAACAGTTTTTGAGAGCATGATTCTGGTCAGAGACCAGATCCTCAGCCGATACAAATCTCCATCAGTCTGGATGGCGCTACATCATCTTAAACAAGCAGAGCACCTGAACTGGATATTGCACAGATGCCCTTGTTGAAGAAACATTACTTTAGACATACCCTAGACGATTACGTCAGTGTGGCAGCCAGCTGGTTTCGTTGCACCAGAGGTTTCAGGTTCCTCTCTAGTCATAGGAAAAATGGGTACCACAGGGCAATCTGGGTCGAGGGTGGGATAAACGGTTCCCTAACCTGCCCTTTTCACTGACAGAAGATGGAGCTGAGGGTAGCTATACCCCTAATTTGGAAATAAATTTAAGCAGGAGAAACCAGGCCTTTATTAGTTTACTGGATTAGGAAAGTATATTTACATTTTCAGTCAGATTAAGTACTTGATTTCCATGCATTATTACAGATTTAAGGATCCACAGGCATTAGTTCCCTAAACCCTGCTTTTTTACTCTCCTTTGAGCACCACAGAGAGTGAGACCATAGAACCCAGTCCTGTGCAGCCCTGAAAAGTTTACTTTGAGGGCTTCAGTTTTTCCTCTTTCAGACCGCTCCAGCCCTAGCTCAGGTATAAACTAATCAGTCGTGTGCACCTTGGTTGTGGTTCTTTTAACTGTGACAGAGTATGGCTTAGGGAATCAGTCCTTTTTAATTGTAAAAAATGTGGCCGCATGAAGCACACAGATTGTGATCAGTTTCTGCACTCTTCTAAAATCACAGCCTCCATAGCTCTTTGGCATGTCCTATTAATTCAGATTTTATTTATGTAGAGCTAATATACAGGCTGTGATATAGCAAGGAGATTCCAACATAGATGTAATTTTTGAAAATACCATGTATGCTTTTCTTTTATTATATGGAGATGGTTAACTGGCCTACCCATCCAAACAGAAGAGCTACAAGAGGGTTTCTCTTTTACCAGAGGCATTTGGTGTTGAAAGCAGAAAATATGCGAATCATTTCGTTATTTTAGAATAGGATGTACAGAGTACAGAGATATTTGCTGTCCTGAAGATAATTTTACCTGAACAGTACACTGCCAGAGAGGAAAAAACTATTAAAAATTTTTTTTATACACAAACATGATTTTCTGAAATAGAATGCTGCCCATAACATAATGATACCAGCCTTTAACCGATACTAATTCAGTAAATGTCCACAAAGGAGCCTGAAAATAACCTACAGCCATGCTTTCTCACTTGAGAACTGCCTGAAAGGATTGCTTTCACATTGAGAGAAAGCCAGTGTCAAGGTAACAAGTTCTCCCCTACACAGAGTGGCTCTCCTGGGAGCGAATGCTGTCAAGGACACAGCTCAGATCTTTTGGCTGGCAGCCAGTAGCCAGAGCAACCATTCTGGTTGCCAATTCAGAACATGATGAGCACAACACAACCCCAGAGATTTTTAAGGTAATCTGGCCAGTAGAGCATTGCTCTACCAAAGGGTGGTCTCCAAATCAATCACAGCCTTTGGCAAGTCTGTTGCCTTTCAATTGAAACCAGACATGTTTTCAGTTCATTCTTTGGGTTACTACTGTTCAATGGTGATTTACAAGAGAGTGTGAGCTATGGCAATCTCTCACGCAACTTTAGATATTCCCTAAACGAATGCACATTTAGAAATCTCCTTGCTCTAAAACAATGGCTTGTTAGAAAAGAATATTTAAAGAGAAACCATCCTTAAAAATAGGTCAAGCTGCCTCTCTTCAACATTCAAAAATACTGAGACATCGCTCTGCAAATCACAGTGCAAGTAACTCCAGCAGCAACAAAATCCAGTGGGGTAAAACACACCTCTAAATGGGAAACCAAAATATGCTCTTCCTGTGTGATACTCTCAAGATGATATTTCTGGGGGGCACTCAGTCTTCTCATTTCTGTCCTAGTTTGAAATGCATTCAGAAGGCCTGTTCAAAAGACAGCAACATGGGGTTTCTCAGTAGCAGGCTGTATTGAATTACAAAATAAATATCGCCAGTAGCAGAACACTGCTATGTTCAATCTTTCTCTATCATTTTAGGCTACGTGTGTCTCAGCACTGTATTTTCAGAATTGACAGTTGTGATTTATACTTACTCTGGAGAAATAAAAAGGAATTATACAGGCACTGATGAAGTTTTAGTCTGTAAGGGTTGTAAACTGGAATTTACATACAAGAGACTTAATACTGGACAGAGTCTTATTTCCAGGCTTTCAAGGAAGACTTCTGCATACACTTGCAGATGTAGATTGCTGAAATCATCAGAATGGTTCCAGAACTTGGCTGTCTCCACGGAACAGCCAAGTAGGAACTCCATGTGTCTGGGTCAGATAGGGAGTTCTGTTTTGAATACAGGGCTTGTGTCTCCTCTTCCTTTACCACTATTTGAGTGTTTCATCAGCCATTTTAGAAAGCAAGAGAGACCAGGAGCTGAAATGAGGAGAGAGACCTTGCTCTAAGGAGAATTTACATGTAGAAAGAAAATGAAGGATGTTCTGAGGTGCTCTAACAAAAGTGTGTTTGAGTTGTAATGAAATAAGGAAACATACTGCAGTAGGTGCTCCACATAGAGAATAAAGTTCACTTATCTAATGTTTACCACCCAAGCAGCTCAAGTAAACCAATTTAATCGTAAATTAAATTATGTCATATGTGCTTCTGGTGAACAATACTTCCTCAAGAGCAACCATGGTATTAAAGGAAACAGAACTATATTGGGAGAGAAAAACAATGAACTACAACATGAACTTGGGAAAGGCAGATCAATTCTCAGATACTAGCTGCAAACCAAACCCTCCTGTAAATAGGAGTAGCTTGAGGAGCCTTTAACCAGAGCCATCCCCTTCCTTTTTATGCCCCACTGTTCAGGTTTGATGGAGGCCTTTACGCCAACGGCCACACAGGTTTGGGCACCCCCTCCCCAACCCCTTCCCAGAGAAACTGCTTTTTCATAGCACAGTAGCAAAATTTTAGCCAAAATCCTTGCACTAGCCTTTGGTTTTAGTAGGTCAGTACTGAGCAGTACCTGTCTGAGCTTGACATCTTTTTGCATCCTCGCAGGCAGCGCTAACACTCTGGCTGGTAACAGACACTAAAAATAAACCCTGAAAACCAAACTGAAAGCACCTGTGCTCTTCACTGTACCTTTAATCTAGTACTATTTACAGTCAGGGTGAGCCTGCGTCATTGTGAAAATATTTGAGAGGGCTTCCTTACCTATGCACCGGAAAATACAGATAATAGCATTTTTGTTAATCTCAATTTCCAAAAAAAAGAAAAAAAAGAAGTGGTTGGTGGGGTTTTGTGGTTTGGTGGTGGTTTTTTTCCAAGCACAGGTCCATCTGCACAGTTACTTAATTGGTGCAGATTTGGCCTGGAGCGGTCACACACAAGGGCCTGGGCCAGCAGGTGCTGGCCGATGGCTACCTGCAGGGCACTGGGTACCATTTTGGTGTTCTCGTGACTCAGTTTTGCTGGTATTTGAAAACCTGAAAGGTGGAGATTAACGTCCTGACGCATGTTGCTGCTAACTCTTGAACTTGTGGCTTGCCTCTGCAAAGTAAAAGGAGAGACTGAGTCTGTTCAGTGGCACAGCAAATAACCAGAGCATGTGCATGAAGTTATCAACATGAAAAAAATGTGTACGCTGTATTTTGATGAACTCTAAATACTATTTTATTAGGGCTTTTAAAGAAGACGTAGGTGAGCTTTTGCAGAAGACTTTTAGCCTAGAGAGTTCTAATATAAAATATGAATTACTAAAAAAATATAATTCCATTATGGTTTTGTATGTTTCTTTTGTAGTGAATATTAATAGATAACTGTAGCACTTAATATTTTCATTTTTAGTTTCCACCTTTAAGTTATACCAGCGTGCAAAGCATGTGTATAGTGAAGCTGCCAGAGTGCTGGAATTTAAGAAGATATGCAACGAAGCACCTGCCAATGCAATCCAGCTGCTGGGAGACTTAATGAACCAGAGTTATATCAGCTGCAGGGAAATGTATGAATGCAGCTGTCCTGAACTGGATCGGCTGGTAGACATCTGCCTGTAAGTTTTGACCACAAGGAAGAATAATCGTCTGTTGAGAATATTGTTCAAATTGATGAGAAAATATGACATCATTGGCTATTGCAATTTTAAAATGAAAGTATTCTTGTCTCTTATTACAGAATTAATCTCCTGCAGGGACATTACATGGTCAATTGTTTCCCTACTAACATCTGTGTAATACTTTCAGATGAAAGCTGCAGTTTATGGCTTTATTACAGACTTTGCTTTTGGACTGACTCATCATCACAAGTGTTACGTTAGACTGTTGGCTGTTCTTTTCTTAAGTTGTAGAAGAAGTCATAACTGGTTTTCTTAAAACATCATCTTAGTTGTTCTATTTGAACTCTGTTACTTTTTGTGTATTTCTTAACCATTTCAGAACTGCCACCATGGGAATTCCAGGCCATAAGCAAGCTGTTCTACATTCTTAGGTTGCCTTGAAATCATAATGGTATATTGTGAAATGCTATTGCACTTTTTTCAATTAAAAAATATACGTTGTCTAGGGTATCAGATAGGTTAGACAGCATTTCACCATTTAAAAGATGAGTGTGTTAACATAATAGCTAACACTCTGCTGCTCTCTGCATTGTGTGCCAGAGCTTTCCCCACATTATTCAGTCTCCGTCTCTGCCCCAGCCTCATTCTTTTAGCTGGGTTCCCTAACTCGGTTTGGCCGTGGTAAAACAAGCCCTCTCAACTCCAAAACACATTCCTTGAGTGTCATTTTGTCCCTTCTCTTCTCCCTCTATTCCTCCCCAGTTTCATATCCTCTAGCCAGAATAAACAGAATTTGAGAAATGGCATGAAGTGAGCTGGAAGTCACAGGTTGTTGTGTGTAGTAGGCTGTTATTTTCATAACTCTGCTACAGTGGATGATGAGATGTGGTATAACCATGTGTTAACACAGAAAGTAAAAATGAATAATTAGTACTCACATTCTACATAGTGTTTCATCCATACCACAGGACCAGCATGAAAGGATGTACACATTTCAGTCCCTCTTAATTTCCATTTTTCTGGTACATTTAATCATGGGACAGACATCGTATGCTAACTTTGATCTAAACTCAGTGTCTATAGAATGAATTCAGTGGTTGGTGATCATTTTAACAGTGGCTTGGGGAATGAACAGCTGCCCACCTGAGTTTTGCCACCACTACTCCATCCCTGCCTCTGCCCCAGCCATGTTCTCCCAGCTGCTTCCCTCATTCACTTCATCGTGGCTCCTCCATACATCTGGTGATGTCACCTCCATACTTCTGGTCATCTGTTATGGTTCCTAATTCTCCTTGGAGAAGGGTGTGCCTGGTTTGGGGAACTCTGCCCTAAGCCAAAGTGTTACTGCCCTGCCAGAAGGGAAGTGTAGGGTGCCGTAAGTGTTTGCAGGCCTGAGGCTGAGAAATGTTGTTTCGCTGTCTTTTAGAAGCAAATACTCCATAGAAGTATCCCATCCTCTCTCTCTCTCTTTCAATCTGGAGGAAAAGAGAAACTGTTTCAGATTGAAGCTAAAAAAAAAAGTAAATACCTTACCACCTAAAAATGAGAGTTACAAAAGTATTTCTTTACAAGCAACTGGCTTTTTCTTTTTTCTTTTTTTTTTTTGAACTAAGAAATTAGTCTGGCTTATAATGAAAATATGAATTTTACAAACATCTAATTTGCCGTATGCTTTCTTACTTCTATAATTAAGAAGATTTTGTAAGTTGTAATACCTGTTTACCAGGTTTGTAAATTGATAGAGTATGATACAGATGATTATTCAGGTTAGTCTGATTTCTTTTGCAGACAAGATGGAATGGCCTCTGAGCCAGAAAGCTACAAACTTAAAAACTGAACTGACTTTTGGACGTTCACAAAATATTTTGCATATGGGATACACATGCTGTTTTGTGATAAAACACAGAGAAACCCTGATAGCCACTGAGCAGTCTGATAGTAATTTAGCAGCACAATTTTTGTTCCTTCTCTTGGAAGCCAATCCAGTATGTAACTCACAGGCTATGTTCAGTTTATTGTATCACGTAACGATCACGTAATAGAACAAGCTACAACAGTCACTCAGCAGGACAGTTCCACCATGGCTATCCCAGCTACTCAAAGGGAACTGCTGGTCTGTGTGTGAGAAGGGAGAACTGTCTCCAGAGTCAGCTGAAGACACAAACGATGCTCTCCTGAATTATCAAAAATCTTGGGCTACAAAGTCTCAGTCCAGTGCAAGGTATCAGCACTGCCTGTTCTGTGACACCCGTGACAGAGGAAAAGCCTTAGAACTTAACATCTGCATTATTTTTAGCTACAGTGAGTACCCAGTGTTGCCTCTGTCAACAGCATCTGCTGACTGAACTTTGCCAAAGTGACTAGCCATTTTAAGTGTTTTCACCTAGAGTATCCAGCTTGAATCATCCTGATAGGGCTTGCTCTCAGAAATGCTGGGAGAAAACTATGCTGTTTCAAGTAGGGGAAAACAAGTAGGTATAAACTGGTAAGATCTGCACCACAGCAGGGAGTTACCTGTGCTACCTTTAAATAAGTTAGCATGGATGCTAGCAACAGTCTATTGCAGCATGAAGCTCAGCATGGGGATGGAAATTCTCTGTTTCTCATTTATTCTGAGCTCTGTGCTTTCACAGCTAGACAGCTGCTGCTCTCTGAGCTAGCTTGGGTATCGTGACACTGACTTTCAGGCAGTAGCATAGACACAGCCCCAGAACCCAAAGGAAAGGGGTATGCAGCTAGGATTTTGCCAAGTTAAATTAAAATTGATCAGAGCATTTCAGTTCCAGGGACCAGAATATAAATAGCGAAGGAAAAAAATGATGTGTGTGCCCATGTTACATCAGATTTCTAACTTAGCAGCAGAAGAGCCTACAGCTACTATGATGAACGTAGCTAAGCACCACAGTGGAGTGTCATTCATCTGAAATGACTTCTAATTGGTATATTAAAATTGTTTAATCTGGGTTTTTTAATTACATTCATTGCACAGAAACAAGTAAATTATTTGTTCATTATTCTTTGCTGTCCTGTCCCATCAAGAATATTTCCTAAGGAATGTATCTTTCTTCTTTAGAAGTCTGATATTCTTTAATGTTTTTCTGATTCTGTGATTAGATTTCTAAAAGTGTATACCTATTCTAGATGAATGCAGCTTAAGCCAGCATTTAATTTTTGGAAACTTGGAAAAAAAAAGTCTTAACTTTTCTCAAGTTGTACATTAAAAAAACTAAGGGACATAAAATCACTAATCAGTCTAGGAAAACTTGGCCGATGTGGTTACAGTAATGGCCGGGAACTACATAAATTACGTTCTTTACTTACGATGATATACAGCTGCTCTGTAACTTTAAAAAGCCTTTCCAAAAATACATTCCACAGAATTACCCGAGCCTACTGCTGCTCTCTCCTTACAAGGTTTAAACTGTGAAGAGTAATCTGCATATCCAGATGTTTTCTGTTTTGCCTAGATCTTTATGTTTTGCTGTACAACCTCTGCCAAGAAAGAAAGGGATGCATACTTGCTGTGGTTTGTAGTGCTGAAAACTGTAACCACTAGTTGGTCAGTTGGTTTTTTTCTTTTTCAAAGACAGAAGACTTGTACTTTCTCTCTAACCTATCTCATGCTGTTAATAGCTGTTGTACCTGTTAGTCTTTTAAAGTAATACAGAAGATTTACTAAACAATTAAGGAACAGAAAATTGGATCTGAGCTCCTGAATTTGTTAGGTGCTTCTTAAAATCTCTCAAAATCCTTGAGTGTTGCGAATAGCTTTCTTTGATTCCCTTACTCTCCATCTTTTGGTGGTATAAATCCTGATAATTTTTGTGTTACCAGCCACGCCCCTTACAGTGAAGATAGCTGAATCCTCTCTGATCACTTTTAAAAGGTAGTTTTTACATTACATCCAGGTGCATTATGGTAGCCGAGACAACTCCACATTTTATCAAGACTCTCATCACTGATAATTTTCTTAAAGCTGCAAAGCCTGAAATCATGGAACAATGTGAAAATTCAGCAAAACAAACAAAAAAACACCCTACAAAAAAGTTTGTAGCTCTTTCAGAGCCAGACAGGCTTAAAGGTGCTATTCAAATGCACACTAAGATGCAAACCAGAGTAAGTATTATACCCGCCCCCCCCATTTATACATTTAAATCTCATCATGTTAACTCCATGCTTTCCAAATAGCCGATTCATAATTTTGAGCATTTGGACTTAACAATATAGCTCTGTTTTTTTCACCTCTTACATCATAATTTTATTTTTAAAATGATGTACTGCAATGTCTTGCCTATCGCTTCCATATACCAAACTATGGGACTTCCATTTTTATTCTTCATCCCTTTGCTGCAGTACCATGTTTTCACTCTCATTTACACGCACCCCTTTCCTCATAAGATAATTCTCTTTTTATCCAGTGAATACTGGAACAAGACGTATAAACTCTTCAAGAAGCAAAGGCCAGAACTCGGGACTGTGAGCTGAGTGTCCCCAACACTGGACTACAGATACCTTGTCTTTCTTGTGTGCCCCACCTCTCCCTCTATTACTTGTCCTTATGGCTGCAGCACAGCCCAGGTGGTGCGTAGGGTACTTTCCCACACGTTAAATCCATGTCGCTCACTGCGTGGGCAAGCGCTCCATCCACGAGATTATCGTCTGCTCATACTCCTCTTCATAAATGCGGGATTTAGATACCAGTGCACAAGAAGAGAGTGTCTGGCTGTGAATCCCACTACCAGAGGAGTCTAGCTTAGGACTGAACTGATTTAAGACTCAAAAAAGACAGTTTCAGACCTGTTCCAAGGTTAACTTTCTGGTGTTTGATCTAGATACCTCACGTGCACCACATCTCCAGTAGATGCAGAATTAGGTGCTCACTTCTGAATTCTTGCAAGATCAGGTACCTAATTTTCAGGTGTTACAGCACTGCCCATCAAAATGCCATGTTCCTCAGCATCGAGCCCAAAGTGTCTAATCATATCACCACATTTGAAACGGTTAGCCACAGTATTTTGAAACACAGTGACTTCAGCTCTGAAACAGGCATATTTTCTGTCTACATTATGCTTTATTTCAACTGAGCATTTTAAAATGACTCAGGAAAATGAGGCATGAGCATGACCACAGAGAATTATGAAATCAGTAAAAGGATCAGAACAATTCTGAAGGGATTTCAGTTGCCTACCAAAATAAAAGCCAGACACCATCTGAAATGTGAAGTTCTGACTGAGGTAACAGACCAAATGAGTACAGACAGTTGATTTAGCAGACTCTGAAAAGTGGATGGGGCCTTATGAAGTCGATGGGAATTTCCCTGTTGGTTGCAACTGAGACTGAATTGGATCCTGCTTATTTTAGGAGGTTTCTCCATGGACCAGAAAGGACAAAAATTGCATCAGAGAATCAGTGGCTTACAGGAATAATAATAATAAGTAAAATAAAATACCAACAGGAAATAAAGAATGAACATAAAATCGAGTCAATATGAAGGGTGGCACCACACAGACACACTGAAGAAAGTGTTTCTGTTCAAGGAGAGATGTAAGCATGTTTAGAATCAAACACATATGTAAGTACTTGCTTGAAATATGACCTAAACCTCCACTAACCCAGCAGTATACCAGATTCATTTAACATAAAATACACATAAGAAAAATTACCACAGCCCACTCAGAATGAGCTGTCATTTTCCAATATGTTATTCACATGATGCCATCTCTCCCTCAAACACATTCTAGGACTGGTAAATCTCACCGTGCATGGCTGTTGGAAACATATCAAAAGTATTTGCAAATCAGATTAGATCTCTCACGAGAATAAGATTTCAAATGAGTTTTCTAAATCATCCTGTTCAGAAAAGCCTCCAAGAAATTTATTACATGGTATTTTCCTACTTTTTTCTGAATCAAGGTAAAGATCAGGAACACAGGTAAGCAAACTAATGAAAATAATGCTAATAAATTGTAATGAGATGGCATCTGAATCTTGCAGAGTAATGGCATGGGATTTGCTGTAGGACGTTTCTAGCAGGCCAGTATCTTGACGCTGGGAATGGTTTATATTTTGGATGTCATTTATTTGTCATTGTTCTTTCTATTCACCCTCCTTATTAAGAGCGTTTTTTTCTTTTGGGACTCAATTTTTATTTTACCTCTACTGCTGTAAATCCGTTAAGTTCATGAGGTTCCTCTAAAGAGAGATACACAACTCTGTCCATTCAGCATAAACAGATGTTTGAGTGCAATGACTGTGTGACTTTTTAAGAGTTTCTGAACTCTCCTTTTCTTGACTGGCACACTCGGCAGTCCTGCAGAAGACTGTAGCCTGTGAATCTTCAGCATGTTTTAGTTCAGTCCTGGAAGAATAGAGCTATTTGTCTTCGCCACATTAGAAAATGGCTTGCATGCCTACATCCTGTGCAATTAGTTTATGAACCCTCTTTTGTTATTTTTGTCATGTATTTCTGTTTTCACTTCTGATGTCTTATGAATGTTGCTAACACAATTCCTTTCTTCTCCTGCTTTCTTCATCTCAGCTGTGCTGTGATCCTTAAAACAGCTGATGCCGAAGCATTATAAAAGAAGGTGACTTTTGGAATTGACAGAAATGACTATATTGCAGTTTAAAGCGTCAGCATTTTTTTTGGTCTGCAAATTGCTGTAATGTCCCATACAACCAACTGAACTTCAGAAAAATCAGATGACATAGATGTGTTTTGAGTAAAGTATTCACTAGTTTTCTATAAGCACTTTATATATAACAAATTAGCCCTTTTTGGTTTATTTCACATGATTTTTTTCTGTTTTTTTTTAGGCGATTTGGGGCCATCGGGTCACGTCTGACTGGAGCTGGATGGGGTGGCTGCACTGTGTCAATGGTGCCTACTGACAAGCTGAATACTTTCCTAAAAAATGTACAAAAAGCTTATTACCAAACCGATGTCCAAAGGTTAGCATCGGAGAATAATAGTCTGTTTGCTACCAAACCTGGAAGAGGAGCTTTGGTTTTTGTTGAGGCCTAAAGAATGTAAGAATTTTAAAGAAACTATGTAGGGCATTTAGAACTGGCAGTACTTCCCATGCCACAGTAAATGAATGCCTTTTCTGTTTTTTATTGTAATGAGCAGTTGCTATTATCAAAATATATTTCTGAAGAAACAATTAAAAGAAAACTCTTTGATTATAAAGTCTGGTTTTTTTCCACCCTAAAAATATCTTTCAGTGTAAACTTTGATTTACAAAACCTGTTGACAGGGAAACTGAAATTGAAGTAAAAATGATACTTCGTTACAGTGGATCTCTCTTCTTTTACTGTTACTGTCATAAAAGTAAGACCGGGTGGAGCAATGAGCTATTTCATTGTAGGATAGGAACCTTGAAACGTTTGCAGGGTTGTTCAGTGCTTATTCTCTTCGGATGTGGGATATTCTTTTGTTTAGATTAATCTTCCATTTTTACAGTACAATCCAAAGCATTCAAACAATTGGAAGGACCTTGCTAAACATCAGAAGTTTTATACTCTCCTCAAATAGGATTATTACTGTTTTAATTAATTATAATATTGGAGGAGCACCTGCAGGCCAAGTAAAACATTAGGAACACATTATGTTAAGCAGGAAAACTTCCCTTCCAGCTATGTTTTTTAGGTATCTTTGTGCAAGGGTTATGAAGGTTTCAACACAAATGAATGCTAGCTGAGCTGTACAATATGACAACATAGCCCCCTAAGTGAATGAACAAATAATGAAGCCAAGTTTGGTTTTGAGTTATCTAAACACCAGATTCTAAGTGTTGAATCCTAGCTGTGCTTCTACAAGGTAGAGCATTTGCATTTTTATGCAAAACTATTACAAAGATTTAAATATAATCCATTGACCATGTAAAAAAGCAATCACTCTGTAAGAAATAATTAAGGAGATAATTCACTCAGTTGTACTAAGCAAACGTAAATAGGCAAGACCAAGAGTAAATGCCATTGACATATTATTGACAAACTCCTATCTTGCTCCCACGTTACACTCCTGACAATCTCAAGGTTGTAACTGCAATGTGCCGGAAGTACAGCATCCGCAATTCATAACTCATCTCAGTAGGAGAGGTGATTGTGATTGCAGAAAGGTGACTGTACATCGAGATAGCCCAAAGATGTCCTAACCCTGCTTCCATGTGGAAGATTAGGGGTTCCTGTGCCCTCTCTCTCACCGCACACAAACTTCCACTTCTCTGATACCTACAATGAAAACCAAAGAGAAGTTTTGCTAGTGTCATAACACTTGCAGCCATAAAAGACATAGCAAGATTTGTCCCTGTGCACATTTTTGTGATGCCAAGCACAAGTTGACGTCCAGAAGTCTGCATCGAATTAGGGATCTCTCAGAAGAGACCCTCTGTACGTTACCCATGCTAATTGAGGCCAAAACCAAATTCTTACAGGCTACTAATTCTTTGAGAGGACTCTGCCAAATTTGAACGCAGCAGTTGAACAACAGCCAATGTAAACTGCCAGGTCTTTTCAGGAACCTCAGAGGAAACATATAATGGTAATATTATCACTAGAGAAGATTTCCGTTTTCTGACAACTGGGAAAAGAACAGAGTGCTCTAGATCAAGCAAATCAGGTACTCAAGAGAGGAAAAGGATGGGGTCTGGGCATGACAGGAAGAGATGGAAAGACGGTTTGGAGTGAGGACAGTTAAAAGGGTGCATTTGAGAAGGGGAAAGCAAGGAATAAGGGAAACAGGTAAGAATGAGAGGCAGAATTACAGAAAGGTTTAATCTCAATACATTCACTATTACTATCTATGGAAATTGAACATCTTGTAACCCATTTGTAATGTACAGTAGATATGCTGTACATTCAACTAAACCTGTAAACATAGGACTCCAAAAATCAAACAATAGGTAAGTATCTTCAAGAATCTCCAAGATAACCTTAGAGATTTTAAAGAAAATAATGCCATAGCTTTCTTACCAAGTGTCCTTTTTAAATATAATTCTCAGTTTAATTCAGTGAGTTCCAGTTTATTATCCTGTCGTAAAAATGGAGTACAACACGGTACATACCAATCCTTTCATTAATATATTTGCATTGAACTTTAGTTCAGCTGGATTCATGGAAGCACTAATCAGTGTGTGAGCAGAATAAAGATATATTAGGGGTTTTGTTTTCTTCTTATTTTTAAGTTCAGCATGACACACAAAGTCATGGAATCTTCCCAAAAACAGGCAGGCTGCAGTACATTTCAAAATTTTGCTGTCAATGAATCTTATAAATGATATTCTCATAAACAAAGAAAACAGAAAAACTGGCACAGTATAAAAGAACAAAACTGAACGTTCTAAACTTCTGATTAATTTCTTTCCTCTCCTTTTTTATTGCTTCAATGTCTTTCCCATATTTTTGCTGAAATTTGCAAATAAAATTGGGACATAACTTTCACTGAAAGACCTATGGTATTCAAACTATATACATAAAAATGGCACTCAGGCATTTTTATTTACTGGCTACCAATAGGAAGTAAATGTTTCTTTTCAAACAAAACAAAAAAATTAATTAATCTGCATTTTGGGTTTTTTTGTTTGCTTTTTAAACCTTGGAAGACATTTTTCTCCATAATAGAAAACAACACCGATAATCAGAGCACAAGAGTGATACATCAACAATGTGTAAAGTAAGCAGCAAGGATATTAGTATTTCTAACAATAAAGCAAGAAGATTTTGATTTGGATGAAAATTCCTGTATATAAATCAACAGCTTCTAAGCATATTTCCTAAGCAAGTCTTTCGAGATCTGTATTATTAATAGCTTTTTCTGACTATGTTTTCAAAATCTCTTCGGTAACCAAAATAATGCTAATCAGTATATAGAATCATAGAATCATTTAGGT